CTGCCCGCTCGTTCGCTGCCCGCTCGTTGTCGCCTTGCCCGCTCGCTCCCGCTCGTCGAGTCTCGATCTCCAAACGGGCCCCGTTTGCTGGGCCGGCGCAGGGCCGGCGTGGCGGCGGGTGGCGCGTAGGCGAAGTCAGCCCAGCGCCACGCCACGCCACGCCCTCAGGTGACCGGCAGCCGAAGCTCGGCCACTCAAACGGGTCCCGTTTGCTCGGGTTCGTTCGGCAAGGTTCGGTACATCGCTATCGCTGCCTCGGGTTTCTCGCTCTGTCTCTCTCGCACACCGACTGCGCACGGCGCGCGCTCAGAGTGGGACCCGTTCGGGCACGGATTCCGGCCTCTGGTAGCATGTTCGGTAGGAATACGAGGAGAAATGCCGACTGGTTTGCGCACCACGCGGAACCAGGCCCCCAGGGGGAGGTTATTGGGAGGTAGTGGTGGGGGGACGACAGGAGGAGGAGAAGAGGGGGGGGGGCGCAAAGGTACGTGATGCACTCCTGGTAATCACCTCCCCACCCGCCAATAGGCGATGGGCCGCGCGGCCACCCGACCCGACTGGCCCACAGGACAGCCCAGACATTATTCAAACGAAAATGCCATTTCCCTTCGCAAACGAGGCACATACCGTCGATGTCTGCTGCGGGTGGTCGGGAGGTGGGGTACAACGCGAGGAGGGGCGGGAGGTGCTGGGGTGTGGCAGGAGGGAGAGAGAGAGAGAGAGACTGTCTCTTCTCCATTGGCCACTAATGCACGCACAATAAGCCGACCGAGACAATGCAAGTTAACTCCATTCCGCGCGAATGAAAGGGTGCGCTTTCCGCCCGCCTATTTATCACCGGTTAATGAGACAACGTTGTCTCGCTCTCTGCACGCCAGCTCGAGGCTCAGCCCCGCAGTGTGGAAGTGTTAATGACCGGACGCGCGAAGGAAAGGGCCGCCGGAGCGCGCGAGGCGGGGCGAGCAAGGAGTGCGGAGTACGCGAGGCAGGCGAAGCAGTCACGGCTGGTTTGCTCTGGCCCACTTCTGCGCCGCTGCTGCTGCGAGGGCGGCGCGGGGGCGGCACGGATGTGCCGTGTGGCGCGGGGGCTGCGAGAAAGTATGAGGCTGTGGAAGAGAACCTGAGGCAGACTTCCTGTTCCCCGTGCTTCTCTATTTCTCTCTGTTTCCTCTTTTGCTGTGACCGGCTGTGCTACCACGATGCAGATTGGATAAAAACAAAAACGCCGCGCATCCCGTCACCCCCCC